GGGGTTTCCATTGCCTCTTTCTTTTGTTAGGTCCTCTGCTTCATGCGTTACAAGTGGTCTTCTTTCTTCCTTCCTTCCTTCCTGTTAATGGTGTATATCCTCCAATAACTTCTGTAGAGAATTGCTTAAGAACTAAACTCTTTGAGACATTGTATGTCTGAAAATGTATTATATCCATATCCATTAATTGATATTTTGCTAAATAGAGAATTTTATTTTATTTTTTTAAGATTTTATTTATTTTTTTGACAGAGAGAGACACAGCCAGAGAAGGAACACAAGCAGGGGGAAGTGGGAGAGGGAGAAGCAGGCTTCCCACTGAGCAGGGAGCCCAATGCGGGGCTTGATCCTAGGACCCTGGGATCATGACCTGAGCCAAAGGCAGACGCTCAATGACTGAGCCACCCAGGTGCCCCATAAATAGAGAATTTTAGGTTGAAATCATTTTCCCTCAGATTTTTCAAGGCATTGCTTCGTTGTTTTCTATTTTCTAGAGTTGCTGTTAAGAAAGAAAAAATAGCTCTTCACTGCTGTCAGCTTAGAACTGGCCTGACTCAAACACCTGGGCTGTGATGTTCTCCAGTTAAAACTAAAAAATTTCTCAGAACACCAATATCAGACAAAACCACTAATCATGATGAAGCAAAGGGAAAAAAAAAAAAAAAAAAACTACTTCATGATTGTCTGAAGGCAGAGAACTGTCAAACATCCCCTGAACTGAGAAGGCACTTTGAGATGGAAAAACAAATCAGACAACAGTTGACACTGAGTTTTTATATTGGGTAACTTACTGGCGGGAAGGATTGGCCCATGATCCAGTCAGCTGCTCAGCTCTTCTCCACAAAAATCCAGACCTTCACTCACAGATCCTATAAGGAGATGGGACCTGAGGGAGAGCATAACAGTGAGATCCAAGTGTACACGCAAATGTGATTAATAGCTAACATTAACAGACCTCTTGGTGCCATCTGTGCATCAGGAGGCCAAAACTATGTTATTGAAGTTTGTATCTTAATGGACCTGCTGTAGGCCATAACAGAACTAACTCTTGGTGCTCTTGTCTCCTCTGGGATCACAAGACATGTACAGTAATCTTTGGGGTGAAGGGCAGCTTCTGAAGAACATAACACTAGAATGAGCACCAAGTGGACAAGTCAAAATGCTGGCCAAAAATGGAGTCAGTATGGCCAGCATTCCTACAATGATCATGTCTGAGCATGAACGGAACACAGTCCAAACCACAAAAAAATGACCAAACTTCCCGTTCCTTTCCCAACCACTAGTAGTAACTGTTGCTTCTTTACCAATTTCATATTTGGCTCTGTTCCACTCCTCCCACTTTCTGAATAAAAATTATTAAGATTTCCAAAGGTAGAATTGCCCCCACAGTTCCCCACGGTGTATGTTGTCTCTCTTGTTGCAATAAGCCAAAAATCCAACTTTGTTTGATCACAGGTTTGTCCCTGATGGTTATATAATGGAGCGCATCGGCACTGTAGAGAAGGCAGATGCCATTCTGATTCTTGACTATTTACATTAAACTGTTCTCTCACCTCCCTTCCCAAAAGCTTACAGGATCTCTCCTCTTTGTCCCTACTGTTTTGAAACGGTTTCATCTATTTTTATCCACTATACTGGGCACTTAATGGGCCCTTTCAATAGGGGAATTTGGATTTCTTGTGTATCACTCCAGAGATATTTACGTATATACAAGTAAAATTGTCAATCTCTTGCAACCACCATTACCCTTTTGATACAAATGATTGCACATTATAAGACTGTTCCTTTGGAATCTTCACTTGATTTATGTCTCAGTGAATGTAAGTTAGCTTTTGCTATATAACAAGCCATCTCAAACTTATTGACTTAAAATAACAATAATTTATTACTTTTTAGGGCTTCTGTGAGTTGGAAGTTTTTCTGTTCTGGGCCATCTCATTTGGGGCTGGTTGGTATAGGATGGCTCAATCACTTGTCTGGGGCACAGCTGAATGGACTAGAAGAGCGGGGATGGATCTTTTTCTCCTTGTGATCTCTCCAGCAGACTAGCTTGAGGGTCTTCAGATCATGGTCTCAGGATTCCAAATTTAAGCCCCAGTGTGCAAGCATTTTTCAAGCCTGCGCTTGCCTCAGGTTTGCTAAGGCACCAGCATTGGCCCAAGCAAGTCACAGAGCCAATCTTGTATACAGACCGGTGGACAAATAAGCTCCACCTCCTGGTGGGAGGAGCTGCAAAATATTAAACCATTTCTTTTCAGTCACACCATATTGGAATATCAGGAGCTTCCTCATTCTTTTTTACAGGTAGCTGAACCATATTTCATTGTGTAGTTGTATATTTAGTTGTATATTTAGTTACTCCCCCAAATGGTGGACATTTAGAGAGGTTTCCAGTCTTTTACTTAATGAAAAATGCTCCATGAATAACCTTGAATATGTTTAATTTCACACATGTGTAGGAATAATGGGATAAATTTCTAAATGGATTTTAAAAAGGTCAAAAGTGTTATTTCAGTGTTGTTTTAAATTGCATTGCTTTCATTAATAGCAATCTTGAATGTTGAGTATCTTTATGAGCAACAGAAACGAGTATTTTCTGTTCTATATATGTTTGCTATTTTTATTGGGTTGTTGGCTTATTTCTTGTTGGTTTGTAGTTCTGTAAATATTAGGGAAATTAGCCTTTTGTATATATGTGTGTTCTACGAATGTAGATGTTGGGTATGGTTTGGTGAAGTTGCTGCAGCCACAGGAGAAGAGAAGCAGGCTTGAAAGGAAGAAGTTTATTATACTCACAGTCCCAAAGAGGGGGGTCATGTTGTGCAGCAGAGGGCCACAGAGGGGCATAACCAGCAGGGTGCTCGGTTTCACAGGTGGGGAGTAGAGACAGGAGGACCTGTGGGCCAAAGTCTTTACTGGATCTTGCGTGGGGTCCACGGAAAGCAAACCAAGAGAGGTGGGAACGGAAGGTTAGGGGTGAGGGAGAAGGGAAGAGAGGAAGGGGAAGTTAGAGTCCAGCAGTTGGGTTTGTTATCAAGGGGTTTCAGCTGTTTTGGGGTGTGAGTTCACAATTAGGGCAACGAGAAGGATGCTAACCACCAAAGCATGAACTTAAAATGGAGGATTTTTAACGCAATGCGAGTTGCAAATATTGCCCCAAATTTGTTATTTGTGTTTGGACTTCACTTAGGCAGATATCATTCGATTTATATAGTCAAATTCATTGATATTTTCTCTCAGGACTTGTGAGTTTATATCATAGAACAGCTTTTTTCACATACACACCAAGATAATAAAATAATTGTTTAATGTGTCTACAAGAACTTTTATGTTCCTCTTTACTATTTAAATCTTTGATTGATTTGGAATTTACCCTTATGTAAAGGGCATGATATTCACTGACCATTATTTTTCCCTAGACACTTACCTATTCAAAACTGTTCATTAGAATTATTGGTTCAAGATCCTCTTTCTAATATATTACATTTCCTTATTATTTTGGTATATTTCTGAATTCTTGTGCCATTTATTACTGTTGATTCATACATGATATCTTACTATTTTAATTAATATAATTACTATTTCATAGAATTAGTCCTTCCTTATTGCTCTTTCTTTTAAAAAAAGAATTTCCCTGAGTATTTCTGCTTGTTTCTCTTCCATTTAAACTTCAGAATTCTATTGTCCAGTTTGAATTCTAAAAAGCTCTTTTTGATATTCTTAGAAAAACCATGTTAACTTGAGACAGCCGATTTAAGGAGAGATGTTATCTTTGTGACGTTGAGTCTCCCAGCCAAGAACATGGTATATCTTGGTTGACAGGGAAGGAGGCTGCCCTGATGCAGTGGTCCCTGAACTTGAACGTTCACCTAAATCACCTACAGAGCTTAAGTCACAGGTTGTTGGGCCAGCCCCTGGTTTCTGATTCCGCAGATCTGAGGTGGGGCTTGAGAATCTGCATATCTCACAAGTTTGTCCTGGCACCACACTTTGAGAATAACTGGCCTAATGTATTGATCATCTCGGAGCCGGTTGGTGGGAGACTGAAGCATATTTACAAACTTAAAAAAAAAGCAGGACTGTTAAAAGGATCCTTAGGGAAAGGAGGCGGACGACTTGTATGAGGAGTTAAATGTCCTCCTCGTCGTTGTGGAGAAGCCTCTTGACCTGTGCCAAACTTGGCTTCCCCTCGCCTTGAAAAGCAACTGAAGCCAGACCACCCATTCCAACACTGAAAGGGACTTGGCAGGGACAAATGTAGCGCAAACAAGTTCAGGCTTTCCCGGGCAGAACAAAGTTCTCCAGTGGGTCAGTAACTATCTCAACACCCGCGGGCGCGGCGCTGCAGGGGGCCCCCAACAAGCCTCCGGTGGGCTGCAGCGGGGGCTCCCCCCTGCAAGCTCTCGCCTGCGCCCCTCCCCGCCCCCGCCTTCCCCCCTCCGGCTCTTCCGCGTCTCTCCCCCGCCTCCCCAGATGCCATTCCAGGGCATTCCCCTTTTCCCGCCCCGCTTCGGGATCTTAGTAAACGAGTTGTATTTTACAGCCCTTTGCGGCTAATGAACGCTTCAAAACCTGAAGAGCAAAGACAGGTGCTCCTTGGCACCTAGCGGAGAACATTTTAACTAGCTGAGAAAGCCCTTCAAAAAACCTCATCCAAAATTTACCCCCACCAAGCAGAAGAGAAGGAGAGTGTTCCCATCCGGTCCGGTCCTAAGGCGTCTTCTTGGTGGAGAAGAGTCGTGGTAGGACGGAGGGGGAGCCCCGCGGGTCAGGACTGGGAGCTGCTCCGGCTCCTGTCACCTTCGCACCCCCGGAGAGGCTCCTCCCATCCCCCCCCCCCCCCCCCCCCGCCGTAGGTTTGAGACCCTTGGTCTCAACGACCAGGATCCCCGGTTCGGATTCCTCATTTCTGTTCAATTTGGAGCAAATAGAGGAGATTTTGGAAGTTGTTACCGAAATTAAAGACAACAGTGGCCGCAATAGCTAATTATAAGTCACAATTGTTGGTTGCCAAAAGAGGATTTAATAGAAATAGAAAAATAACCGCGTGCGCCCAACGTGGGGCTCGAACCCACGACCCTGAGATTAAGAGTCTCATGCTCTACCGACTGAGCTAGCCGGGCGCTGGTGAGCCAAGGCGTCTCAGAGACAGGATGTATGGTCCAGATACACACTAGTGACAGAGACCGCAGGGTCTAGGATTTTGTGAACCGAATAGTAGCTTTTTGCTACCTGGACCGAGGCTCCGAGAGAGTGGTGGGGACTGCGTGGGGCCAGGCGGCCTCCCAGAGGACGGGGAATCAGGAGTCCTAAAACCTCCATGTTTTCTCAAAGTCCGCGTGGACCGGATCATTTTGACAGCCCGGTGTCTGGCATGCGGACTCCTGAGGAGGAGGCGAAAGAGCGCGAGGGAACGGGGATGAGAGGCGCAAAGAGCCGGGGGAGCAGGTGGGGCACGGGGACTTGCCTCCCGGGACCTTGGTGCTCCAGCCGCTGCTTCCTTCTCTTCCTAAACCGTGACGACCAGGGTGGTGGGTGGAAGTGGGGATGAGAGACGCGTCACTGGGGGCACGAATTTGTTTTTAAATACTAAAGTTTTGTGTGGCTTGAGTAAAAGACCCTATTTATTACGTGTAAACGTCCTAGCGAGATTTCAAGTCAGATGGGAGTCAGAGCCCCAGGCGATTTCACTCTACTCTCCCAACTTTCATTTCTCCAAGATCCGGTACAGGCGCTGAGTTCCGGAGTCCGAAGCAAAGGGTTCTCACCTCTGCAGCCTTAGTGGCAGCTCCGAGGCTCGCCATACCGCTCTGCAGTGCGTCCCTGCCAGAACCCGTTAGGTTGTTTGCTTTAGGTGGGCGAGCGGCGGAAGGAGCTGAACAGAAACAATTCACCCAATTCGTGGATAGCACTTCTGCAAGGTTGCTTGGAACGAAGAGAGAATTAAACTTTTTTCAACCCCTTTAAAACGTTTTATATATACATATGTTTAAAAAAAAAAAAAAGCCACCACGGAGACATCACATGCCGTGACTCGGATTCGAACCGAGGTTGCTGCGGCCACAACGCAGAGTACTAACCACTATACGATCACGGCGCGCCACCTGCCAGGCGACGCGCTCCGCTCTTATTTTATGCCCTTTGGAATAGGAGTACGTACCCCGTGCTGCCGTTTTAGTTGCCCCGTTCAAGTAATCTGCATCAATCAGAATACCAAACAAACGTTTCCACTCCACAACCTCGAAGTTTTGACCCTCGAATCTGGTTCTGAGCTCCTAAATCCCGCGTGCAGGCGCCAGTGTCGCCCTTCGGCTGGGCAGCGGGCTGCGGCCGGGGACCATCCCCTGTCGCCCCGCCTCATGCCACTTCTCTCCCTTCCAAAGAATCAAGCCGCCCCGCCCAGCGGTGCGAGAGGCCGCCCGAGGATTTTCCTGTTTACATCTCCAGCTTGTACCCTGGAATTGAGGTTACTGTCCCCAGAGCGGTGGAACCGGAAGAGAAGGGGAGCTGGTCGAAGGCTCTCCTCTTGGTTTCTTCTTGCTTTCCTCACCGTTCCAAGTGACAGGACGCTCTCCGGCAACTGCGGGCTCTTGGGCTGACTTCCTTATTCTGATTTCTCAGTAAACCAGAGCTGCATCCGAGGATTTAGAAAATCAAATCCGAGCAGCCTCTATTTCAGACACTTCCCTAAAGGCCCCAAAAGGATAGATATCATAAACTGGTGCGACGCCAGCGGCCGAACCCAGCAGACGAGGTTGGCTCAGGGTTGCAGCTACAAAAACCCTAAAGGCTCTTTTAGGAGAGACTCCCTTACGAACTAATAGTCTCCAAAACCTTTCCTTCCCCAGTGGTTTATTGAATTGAACTTACTTAAAAGTTTCGGGGGAAAAGTGAAAGTGAGAAGTGCGTTGGCCGGGAATCGAACCCGGGTCAACTGCTTGGAAGGCAGCTATGCTCACCACTATACCACCAACGCAGATGTTACTGGTGTCTGATCGGTTTCCTCATGAGGAGTAATTCGTCCAGTTCTGGTCACACAATTCTTTATCTGACATTCATATTAAGAGAGATTTCTAACACAACGCCAAAGGAGGAAGCTCTCTGGGATTTCTCCTATGGTTATATTAAAAATTCTGTGGCAGTTTCTTATTTATTCACAGGTTTTAAAAAAGTCAATTCTAATTTTTTCTATTGTCGTTTGAAGGGGGCATCTGAAATCCAGTTACGGAGTTAAGGCTCCCCTGAGGGAGTTATTAGGCATTTCAGAGTGTTTTCATAGGGCAAATGCATTAAGGTAAAGTTGCAAATCAAAAGACATAAGCATTTTAAAACTTTGGATACTATATTGCCAAATTGCTGTGTGAAAAGATAACACCAGTTTTCGCTATTACCTTACATCTGTCAATGGGATGTCATTCTTTTCATCTTCATGAAAGTTCAGGACAAAAAGTCTTATCTTAATTTGCATTTATTCTATTACTATTGAGGTTGATCATTTTTCATATTTACCAATTATTTGCATTAGTTTTGAGAATTACTAAGTCATATGCTTTGTCTATTTTTCTATTATTTGTATTATATTAATATTACTGATTTATACCACTTTGTCATTTGACTCTTAACATTCTTTATAGATAAACAGAAGTTTTCTGTTATGTAGTCTAATCCATCAGTTTTATCCTTTATGATTTCTGTCTTTGCTTTTATCTTGGAAAACCTGCTACCCAGTATTAAGATAATTATCCACTAGTGTATTTTTCTTAGCTTAGTTATTTCAGTTCTTGCATTTAATTCTTTAATTCATTTAGTATATGGTATGAGGTAGTAATTCTACTTCCGGAAATACCTAGGAAATACCTAGGATGTATCTACACAGATGTTCATCAAACTGTTACCTGCAAAGCCAAAATTTTAGGGGGAAGAAACTAAAATTCCAGAAATAGGTTAGATTAAATCCACTTTGATGAAAACCCACATGAGTTTTTCTTTTTTTAATTCTATATACATTGTACATTGCTGGTGGGAGTGTAAATTGGCACGACCTCTATAGAAGGCACACTGGCAATATCCACCCATGAAATGCACACACCTTTTGAACCAGTATTTCAATCCCTGGGCATTTAGTCCACACACATGGACGTATGTACAAGATTATTTATGGCGGCATTGTTTGTAATAGCAAAGGACTAGAAATAACCTAAGTGTCCATCAAAAGGAAGTTGGTTCAATTAATTATGGAATATCATCAATACAATGGAATACCATGTGTCATGAGGAAGAATGAGGAAACTCTTCATGTCTAAACTTCATGTATAATCTGTCTAATATATTTCTAAAATATATTGTTAAGTGAAAAAGGCAAAGTGTAGATAAAACATGTATAGATTGCTATCATTTGTGCAAGGGGGAGCATATTTAAATATATAAGTATGTATGCATGTACTTGCATTAACATAAAATATTTACATTATTATAGTTATGAAACATAACATTGGTGGCCTTATTAGAGGGAAACTAGATGGCAGAGGTAAAAATTAGGTTTGTCAGTTATAGCTTTTGCATATTTGAATCCTAAACCATGTAAATATATTTACCTTTTCAAAAACTAAATTAAAATGAAAGAAAATACCATGTTAGTGAAGAGCGTTTATTTCCATTGGCAAGTGTTGGAAATATATTAACTTTAAAAATAGCTGGAAATAAAATAGTATGAATAGCATAATTCCAATTGTTTTTAAAACTGGACGTCAGCGGTTAACATGTGGTAGAACAGTTTTTACTTTGTATATTTCTGCATTTTCTGTATTTCAGCTTTGGCGGACTGGGGAACTGACTAGGAGTAACAAAGTTAATCATTAATGGTTAAAAGAGAAAAAAAATAAAACACTTTTCCCTGACCGGGAATCGAACCCGGGCCGCGGCGGTGAGAGCGCCGAATCCTAACCACTAGACCACCAGGGAGGCTGAAGAGGTTTACTGCTAGAAACTATATGATTCTGAGTATGTGTTTCCACTTAATTATTCTGTATATTATTGCAACTGCCTTGGGTTTTGAGATTCCTGAAAACTGGGCCCTCCTCAGGTCGAAATTACTTTTTCGTGTTTTTTTTTTTAATTGAAGTTAGAAAACCCGCTAGAGAACCCCGAAGCCTGGCTCCCAGAGCTGAGGGATGATCATAAATACACGATCACAGTCCCCAAGACCAGAGACAAGTAACCGGAGGAGACAGAGAGACAGAAAAGAGACTCTTGGCTTCACGTAGTTGCAGTGATTTCCTGAACTGTGATCAGGAGAAAAGTAAAGATCTTCAGCTGGAGCTTTGCCCAACGGACCAGGAACTTTTCCTTAAGAAATACAGAGGTCGTCGTGTGACTAACGCTTGGAGATCCTGATCCTATTGCAGGTTTTTTTCATCTGCGAACTCAGACCAAATTCTCTTGGCCAAAACAAATATTACAGACAAGTGAAAGTCACTGGGCCTACTGGTCCTCGGTGGTTAGCGGGACCTGAGCTTAACTCTCTGGTGGGAGACTGAGAGAAGGGCAGGGGTACGGAGCTTTTAATTTTTTTATATGAAGAAAGGAGAGTGGGAGTAAGGAGGAAAAAAGAAATGGGGTTCATGCTTCCACTGAAGGAACTTTTAAAACCATACCATCAATGTATGCAAATTAACTTTTTTTAACTATATATGAGAGAAAAGAAAGCAAATGTAACAAAATATTGACAGTGAATCTACCTGAAGGGTAATTGAGTGCTCATTATTTTATTCTTTCAAGTTTTCTGTAAATCTTTTTAAAATAAAAAATTGAGAAAAACAAGAATGAAACAAAAGCCTCCCCTCAGGCTTTTTTTTTTTTTTTTTTTGGTCAGATGAGTACAATGTTATGAACTCTCTGCCCAAGAGCTCAAACAAATTTTTAAAAGCGATCCCCCTCCACATTCACATCAGAAAATATTTTGATAATGAATGAAAAGTGAATTTAAATATTGACTCACCAATGATGTGTGCATATCAGCAGGGCCTGACAGAAGACAGCTTTTTGCTGTTTTGCTTTACTTTTAAAGTAGCAATGTTAAAATATTGTTTAAGAAAAGTACTCATCCTCCCGACCTCCAGTCTCCCCCTTCCTGTGGTTTTAAATGCCAGAAATTAGTAACTAACTGCTAGATATTTATTTTCACAGAAACCAGTAATCCTGTTGGCACATGTCACTATGGAGACTAATAGAGCCTACTTCTTTTTACTCCAACTCTGTTCCCACTGAAGAGCAACCTGTACCCCAACGCTGAAAAAAAGTAACTAACTTTCAGAGCAGCATTTTGGAATTGTACCTGGGGTGGGTAGGGTAGTAGAATTTATTCCTGTATATCAGAGGAAATCAACCTCCTTATGTTTTGGTCAACAGACCATTTTCATCTATTATTCTGTCATCTGCAGGTAATTTTTGGTAACACATGAGAACCTAGGAAAGAGAGTATGAGCTCTGGGAGCTAGCCACCTTTCTCAACATCAAAATACCAGGAGAGGACTCATCCTCAGGACAGGATTAAGCCTCCTCCTCTTCTGGCACCACACACCTAAGGGCGGATGGGGGAAGAGTGCAATTCATTCACTTCACTCCATGTTCTGTCGTCTTTTTTCCTTTTTTTCATGCATTTGCAGATCATGTGCCAGACTAGGCATTGAAGTCACTAAATATACTTAATGAGTTCATAATCAGGGGGCACCTGGCTGGCTCAGTCAGAAGAGCATGCAACTCTTGATTTTGGGATTGTGAGTTTGAGCTCCACGTTGGGTGTAGAGATTAATTAAATAAATAAACTTTAAAAAAAAAAAGAGCTCACAATCAAATGGAAAACTAAATAAACAAGTGAATAAAAGAAAATGGATCAGGGAAGATTGAGTAGTTGTACTTTTCCCTATTCCTCCTGCTAATACAACTAAAAACCTTGGATACTGCACATAAAACAAATATAAGAGACTTGAAAGGAAGAGAAAAGAAGGCAGACCAGCTAGGGGCCTTGGGACCTAAGGAACCACACATTGGTGATTTCACTGGGTTTTCTTTTTGTCTCATGTATCCCAGATGTGGTGTGGAAGAAGCCAGCAACCTGGAAATGCCAGTGGGACAGCCAAAGGAAAAAACAAAACAAAACAAAAGCAAGCCTGTTCTTTCTAGCCAAAGGACCAGGAAAGAGGCAACCTAGCAAAATAAAAAAACTTCTAGATAATAACCACTCTACTCCAGCCAAACACCACAGAAAGAACTGTGGCTCACTCCTACACACACTAGTAAAGGTTGAGTGGGATGCCTAGACTGCCACCTTCACCAGGCCTTTTAGGAGGTGTCCCTTCCCTTCTCTGCTGGATTCGTTCCAGAGGAGACGTGGTAAAGAGTCAGCACTTTCACCAACACCCAGTGATAACAAGGCCACCCCATCCCCTACTGTCAGTGAAGGCCATGTGGGGAGGAGTAAAAAGACCTTCCTACCTCTCCCAGCCAGGTTGGTGTCAGTAGAAGCCTAATGGGCAGCTGAAAACTCCTGATGTCACCTGAGCAGTATTGAGAAGCCCCACCCCTCAGGTGTCAGTGGAGGCTGAGTGGGGACACTGGAAGCCTACACCTACCTGGCTGTAACAAGACACTTGCCCCTACTTCCTCTGCCAGAGGAGTATCGGAGAAAGCCACCTAAAACAGAAGGTTTAAATAATATCCAGAGTTCAAAATGTCCAGGTTTTAATAAAAATAGCACTCATCATACCAATGAGAAGGATCTTCAACTGAATGAAAATAGACCACACCTAGATGACAGATGTTAGAATTCTCTGACAAAGATTTTAAAGCAGTCATCATAAA